ATCGCTAATGAGATGACAAGTGAGGCACGACCATCATCAGCGCCATCGTCATCGTCATCATCATCATCACCATCATCACCATCATCACCATCATCATCATGACCACCATCACCACCACCACCACCATCACCATCACCATCATCAACACCACCACTATCACCACCACCGCCATTATCGCCATTCTCACCATCATCACCACCACCATCACCATCATCACCATCACCACCATTATCATTGTCATCATCATCGTCGTCGTCGTCGTCGTCATCATACTCACCATCACCATCACCATCAACATCATCACCATCGTCATCGTCAGCATCATCATTATCAACATCATCGCCATCATCACCATCACCATCACCATCACCATCACCATCACCATCATCATCATCATCATCATCATCATCATCATCATCACCATTATCAGTTTCCTCATCATCACCGTCACCATCATCATCTCCGTCATGATCCTCATCATCAACATCATCATCATCATCACCATCAACATCAGCATCATACTCATCCTCATCGTCCTGTCCTCATCACGACTCTGTCAAACTTAGGGACACGAGGTGTCACTCGTGACGGCCTGCCATGTCCCCTCGAGCAGTCGTCACCCAGACTGCTGTGCTGGCACAGTGGCGGGATTTGCCGCAAGCATCTGCGTACTCTGTTTGTGCTGAGGCTCCTGCAACCAGGCCAAAAACCAAATACACAACTGCACAAGAATCCGAAACTGGGAACCCAGAAATCGGGACCCCGGGAACCCGACCGCCCACTGGAATCGGCGGACAACTTTCACTAAACCCACCCAGGAATCTACTGGTGGCCTGGCCGCCAACCGAAATCGACGGCTAATATTACCAAGACTGGGAGCCAGCAGCCTGGGAAATCGTCCGCTTCCGAAAGTGGCGGCCAACTTCCACCCCGCTGGGACCCCTTCAACGCAAAATTGATTGGGGATCGTCGTACGCGCGATGCGATGCCGTACATACAAATATGCGTGCAGGGAGACATGTACACACGTATGCATGTGCGCGTGTACAGATCTACTCCAGCGCGTATGAGGACCAACGTGTGCACGAGGCGAACACACAGTGGGTGCGCTTTTTTGAAATCTCGCTGGCCCTCCCGTAGCAAATGGTGCGGTGCGCGGCGTCCGACACTTAACACCACGGGGTTACTGGCCTCAAGGGCGCCGCCCGCGGCGGCAACTTCACCTCTCGTCTTGGGAGAAAGAGCGCATAGGCGTCGCACCCCAGGCTGCGCCTCCCCTGGCTTACCCCGTGTTGAAAGGTGTCACCGTCGTCGCCACACCACGCCTCGCCGCCGTTGGTGAAAGCTGCGACCGCTCCCGCTGTTTCCTGGGCCACCATCCTGACGGCCTTCTGTGGCAACCCGAATGCGGTCCGCCGCACGCTCCCTCGCTGCCTGCGCCGCCTGCAGTGAAGCTGCTGGAGGTAAGACCAGCGCGTACATGAGTATGAACGTGCGTGGGCGATCCTGCATTGTATCCGTTCGCGTTCAGTGTGTGTGTGTGTCCTTCGCGCTTGGCCTCCCCGCCGCTGCTGCGGACCCGCCGCTGCCCGCCGCTCGAGGCTTCGGCCAGTCTTGCGACCTTCGACCCCGCGAGGTTGGAGCCCGACCCGTTCGTGCGCTCCACACGCTGCTGCACGGGCGGGCCCTCTGCACTGCAGGGCTGCCCTGCGCGCGCCCGCCGCCGGCCCAAGCTGCCGCTGCCCCCACCGCGGGAAAGTTGGCCTGCCTTCCGGTTCCACCGAGCTTTGGGCGCCCGTGTGGATCCTTCCACGGCCGCGTGCGAGCAAAGTGTGTGTGTGTGTGTTGTCCTCCCTCCGACTTTTTGTTGCCGCCGTGCGCGGCTGCGCCCACCGCGTTTCGATCGCCTTCCCTCTCTAGTCTGGCACGGCCTCCTCCGTGTCCGGCAGGTCGCCGGTCCTGCTGTCCGTGCTTGCCTCTTCTCCTCTTCCCCTGGCTCCTCGGCGCCGCCTGCCTGGCTACACCGCGCCTCCACCTCCACCTCATGCTCACTGTTGGCTGTTCCTCTGCCCTCGCTGCCCCTGCCCGGGCATTCGTGTATGTCTGCGCACCTGCAGCAACTCATGCAAGTCATGTGCAATCACGAGCTGCAGTGGCAACGATGCTCGACTCAAGTGTGATAGAAATCTCACGCCCTTCGCGCACACCCGCGTGAGCTGAAATCAATTCGAGCGCCACTGCAGCTCGTAATTGCACATGATTTGCATGGCATGGCCGAATGGCCGATCCTTTTGGATCGCTGCCCCATCTTCTGATGGGCCAGCCGCGCGCGTTGCTAGTTCACTCTGGCTTGCAGTCTCCGCCCCGTCGCTGCGCGCGAGGTCGCGATCGCCAATCTTGTGTGTCCGTGTGTGTGTGTGTGTGTGTGTGTGTGACACCTTTTCTTTCGTCTTCGGCCGCTATGGACTGCTTTTTCGCCTGCCTTGCCCCCCCGCCCCGCTTTGGCGGTCTCTCCCGGTCCGCCTCGCCACTGCACCCCTTCCTTCCCCGGCCGCTGGGCCCGCCACTGTCGCTTCTCCCGCCCGCTTCTGCTTGTAGTCGTCCCCGCTCGTCCCACCTCAGGGCTGCCCCCTCGTGCAGACTCCCACGCAGCGCGGCTCCCTGAAGGGGTGAACCCTGCGCCGTCCCACCTGGCGGCTGCGTGAGGGCCCGGCGCGCTCCTCATACTCTGCCTGCCTGATTCAGCCGTGCCGCTTCGCGCGCTCGGCCGCGACGCCTTTTTTTTTTTTTTTTTTTTTTTTTTTTTTTTCTCTCTCTCTCTCTCTCTCTCTCCTATGAAAATTCGTGCAGCTTCATATACACATGTGTATAGATACATACACCTTGTATATACACATATCGCCGCGCCGTTTGTTCTAAACGCGCCCAAGCAGACGAAGCTGGCGTCGCGGCAAACCCCGTGACAAACCTCGCGTCTGAGGCGGAGTTTTTGCACAAATGGCCGCGGCGCCCTCCCCAAGATGGGAGGCCGCGCGTCATATGCACCAGGAAGCTAGAAAATCACGTGGCTGGACTCACATGTGGAAAATCTAGAGGCCAAGCGCTGGATATACATGCGGAAGCCTGGCCTACACGACCCTAGAAGGGCCGAGCGCTGGAAAGATACCCAGCCACGTGTATATGCAGCTCTCACCCAGGCAGGTTGCCCCATCTGTATCCAGCTTCCTTTTGTACGCGCGGAAGTGTACAAACATTGAAAGGGGCCCACAAACACACAAATAAATACACACAAATAAACATATTCCCCATCTGTTCTCATATTTTCTGGGTTTTTCTCTTCCCCCCCACTTCCCATATTTTCCTATCTTTTCCTGGGGATCGACGATTACTTGTGCCTGTGTGTTTCTTCCCCTCCTGAAGCATGTCTGTCTGGACGCGCGCGCGAATCCAACATGCCAACTCTTCTTGCGCCGCCTTGTCCGCGCTCCGCCCGCGCGTCTTTCCTCTGCCGTGCTGTGGGCGCATCGTTCCTGCCGCGGCCATAAAAGTTCCTCGTTCGACCCCCAACTCCACCTACAGTCATCGGCCTGACCTAAGGAACGATACATAAGGAACGAAGCCTCTTGTTTATCCCAAGGAATAACGCATAAGGAACGATACATAACAAATAACGCACAAGGAAATATAAATAACGCATGCAAGCCTAATTAAGGAACGACCGAGCCCCTTTTGAAAAGTAAGTGTTCCTTATTCAAGCCGCTCACTGTACATCCCGTCCACGCTGGACACTTGCGCTGCCCGCTGCTGCTTGAGCAGAGGGTGCAACACTTCGCCCATCGCCGTCCGCACTGACTGGCCGCTGTGGGAACGAACCGCTGCATTCCGTGTGGAGGAAACGCGTGCGTCAAGTACATACACAGACGAGAGCGCAGATCTACGAGGGCAAGGTCCTAGTTATGATGACATGCTGGCGCGTGGACCCAGAGACACCCAAGGGGGCAGGGGGCCCACAAGGCAGCAACGGCCAGTAACCTGTTGGCCAGACACTCCCTGGGCGAGCGTGGCCACCAGGGCCAGGCCCACGTGGGCGGGGCGCTGTGGGCAACTACGGGACAATCAGCACCCAAGGCAACCAAGGCTGGGACCTCCTTGGCGGGGTCATCGCAGGCGGGCGGGCGCCGGAACGCCGGCTCAGAAGGCAACCGAGGGCAAGACCCGATGGGCAAGACTTGATTGGCGACCACCGGACAGCCGACATACGAGGTAACTAAGACCAGCATCCTGTGGACGGGAACCTCCAGGCAACCACCAGGAAGTCAGCACACAAAACAACTGAGGCCAGGGCCGTGTAGGCGGGACCTCACGGGCATTCACAAGACAGCTAGCACGCAGGGGAACTGAGGCGAGGACACTACGAGTGGGACCCTATGTCCAAGCAGCGGAAAACGGGCGCGCAGGGCCACTTCTTCATCATGCAAGGAGCCCCCGCATTGCAAGCAATGTCTTCGGAAGAATGGTGAAGGAATCCCAATGCGGAACTTATAAGCTGCGTAGACAAAACGCCGAAGTTCTAAAGCAATTGAGTAGATTGGCTCTTGCCTTTGCTCGGATACTTGTGTTTACTGGCGTGTCTAAGCGCTTGTTCACGGTGGTCTGATCTGACCAATGAAAAAAACGACCTACTACTCAACCGCACGAAAATTCAACACACCGAACGAAAACCATGGAATACGCGATGGCATGTACTGATGTGTGCATCGCCAGGCCTTGAAGAAGGTGTACCGAAAATGTTATCCATGGGCACCAAGCTGTATGCTTATATGAGGAGCTGGGCGAAACGAGGCTGAACAAGGCGGATTAAACTAGACCCAGATCTCAACCTACACCTCGGGTGAGTCACACACAAGCATGACAATTGGCCAGAATGACTTCCTGCACCTCGCCGCTCCTCAAACCACGGGTAAGGCACGCGTCCCCCAAGCACGAGACAGGAGGCCGGCCTGCTGCAAGCCCCACAGAACCCGGCGATCGCTGGCCGGACTCTGCAGAAGAGTGGGGGCGCTGCCTTGAGCCAGGATGAGGAAAAGGCGGAGCGACCATGCTTCTGCCCAGGCATCTGGCCGCTCCAATTTTTTCGATGCGTGGGCCCTGGAGGTCCAGACCACTCCCCCGGGACAGGTTTTTCGTCCTGGGTCGTTTTTGATGCTCCCGAGGCCCGGCGATGACCCCTGGAGGCCGAAAATTGTTAAAATCCCGCCGCTCCAATTTTTTTGGAGCGTCGGATCTCTGGGTGCGATGATGTAACCCGTTCCAAGTCCGCCCCTCACGTGTCCCTACAGGTATTATCTTTCCACTGGGGGAAAAAAAGGCTCCTTGCCAGACGAGCGCCAAGTGAGCCTGCAGTGCAGGAGAGAGCCAGGGAGATGACAGGAGGACGAGAGGGGGGAGGATGGAAGATAATGAAGAGGAAGGTGAGGAGGATGGCGGAGGAGGACAAGAGGAATAATAGTAAGGGTAATGGCAATAGTAATAGGAATACGAATAGTAATACGAGTCGTAGTAATAGTAATCGTAATAGTCATTGTAGTAGTAATAGTAGTCATCCTAATAGTAATAGTAATAGTAATAGTAATAGTCGTAGACGTAGTAATAGGAATAACTCTAGTAATAGCAGTAGCAATAACGATACAGCACCATCCCAAACACCGACAACAGTAATGGTACTACTACTAATCATCACACTACTACTACTACTACCACTACTACTACTACTACTACTACTGCTACTTCTACTTCTACTTCTACTTCTACTACTACTACTGCTACTACTACCACCACTACTACGACTACTACTACTACTACTACTACTACTACTACTACTACTACTACCACTACCACTACTACTACTACTACTACTACTACTACTACTACTACTACTACTACTACTACTACTACTACTACTACTACTACCACTGCCACTACTACTAAATCTAAGACTAATACTCATTATACTATTCATAACAGTGATGCTAGTACCCGTGCTAACAACAACAGTGGTACTAATAACAGGGCACAAGCGTAGTATCCAGAAGGGGAGGAAGACATCCAAGGATCGAGGTCACACATCTGGGATGTTTTTGTTTTGTTTTGGGCTTCCAGAAACCTCTGGGGAGGGAGGAGGAGGAGTGGATAGTGAGGAGATGGAGGAGGAGGGAGGGGAGGGCAGAAGGGAGGGATTCGACAGGGAGGACACGCACTTGTGCATGCGCGCGAATCTGACCATCAAGTCTTCCTGCCCATCGGGAAGCCGAGCCATGGCCAGGTCTTGAAGACCAGCGTCTTAAACTCAAGGCGACCACGCTCACACACACACACATCGCTCATGTTAACTCGGATCGTGCCAAACTCCACTCGTTGAACTCTTTGCTTCCAACCTGGCTGCAACGAGACTGGGGGCAGAACGGTGGGACATACCAGTGATTAAAAAAACGGAGCCCATCCTGGAATACGTACAACTATACGGTGCGCAAGCTTTTCGAAATCCCGTATACAGACCGCAGAGCGCAAGCTCACGAATCGGCAACCTCAAATGCGCACACTACCGGTGACTGCACGGTCACAGCGCGTGGGAAGGCACGACTGAGACGAATGCAATTTTTTCTTGATGCCGCCTGCGACTCGTTTATGCTGGTCAATCTGCTTTTCTGCAAGAAAAGAAGCTCATGTAAGTATTAGCATGTCAACGCGTAGGACATCCAAGAGCTAATGACGGGCACCATGTGTGCACCGAGGCTGACGCTAGGACAGATGGACCTCGACGTTGCTACAGGAAAGCTGCAAGCAAAGAAATTCTGCAAGCGCGCGATGGATTAACTGCCTAAGCTGAACAATCATCGGGCTCGCCGATACACGGCGATGGCGGACAGGCTTGATACCAGGAAGCTGGAAGCACACATGTCTAGATTCACAGGTGGAGCATCTGGAGGCCGCATGCTGGGAACACTGCTCCGTCGGCGGCGAGCGAGGCAGAGGCAGTCCGCTCCAGCGTGTGGCTATTCGGGGCAGCCGAAAGGCGAATTGACCGGCGCGCAAGAGGGGGGAGAACGACGAGAGCGGCCGCGCGGGGGGGACGGGAAAAACCTGCTGGGTACACATGTGGAGGGTCGCCGTGCCCCGGCCCAACGAAGGCCGGGCGCTGGAGAGACGCGTGGCCACTCTTGTGCATCCGGCCCTCGCCCAGGCCGGCCGCGCCGTGCGCATCCAGCCTCCTGGTAGCATGCTCCGAGCTCAACTTACAGTGGAGGCCAGTGCACAAGAAACCGTCCACAAGAAACCCAACCCTGAGGCCCCAGGGCGTCCATTGATTTTTGGTGTGGGGGCATCACGCTTTCCGCAGGGAAACCGTGGAAACCCAAGCAACCCAGGGCACCATGGAGGCACGCAGGGTGTTTCTTGGCATGGGTCTCCGCTGTATCCAGCTTCCTGGCAGCATGCTTCGAGCTAAACTTAATACTATAGCATCGCACCTGCAATTTGCGAGTGCTGCCGCTGCTCCTTCCCTAGAAGAGGAAACAAACGACATAAACATAAACTTTTGGCGCTCTGCGCGGATTTCTTGGATCCGCGCTGGACACCCGTCCCTGGCGCGCGGGGCGCGCCAGAGGTGGTGCCGGAGGCGCCGCCGGGGGGCCCAGCGCGGATCCAAGAAATCCGTGCGGAGCACTAAAAGTTTGTGTTTATGGCGTTGTTTCTTCTTCGATTCTCGTCACCTCCTCCCCGGAGGTCTCTGGGGCCCCCCAAAGAAGTATTCGGGGTCCCCGGCAGCCTCTGGAGGCCTCGCAAAGACAGAGACATGCTCATACGTGTTGCTCCCCGATCCTCGAACCTTCTCATTCTCCGCCCTCCTCGCCCTCCTCGATTCTCGAATCTCCTCCCCCTCCCCCTTCCCGCTGCACATTCCGGTGCTCGCCGGCAAGTGCAATGCCGTCGACTGCCTGGTGGCCTTCTGTTACCCCTTGTTCTGAGGCGGCCGGCCGCAGAGACGAGCGCGGGGGAGGGGCTGTCGCGCGTTCCCCCCAGAACTCGAACAAAGTTTTTTCTCCCCAAGCGTTTTTTGAAGGTCCTGGGTCCCAGATCCGAAACTTGTCCAAGCAGCTCCGCCGTGTTTTTTCCCCCCGCGACGCGAGGAAGTCAGTGCCCTACGATTTTCAAACAGCATGGCTCCCCGCGCCCTCAGGCTGAGTCCAACCGACTCCTCCCTCCCCTGGTTGCTACCCGCCTCCGCCGCTACCTGCTCCTCCTCCTCCTCCTCTTCATCTCCCTCGAACCTCCTCCTCCCTCCTGCTCTTCCCCGATCCTCGAACCTACTCCTCCCTCCTACCCGACCCTCGACCCCCCCCTTCTCGATCCTCGATAATCGATCCTCGAACCTCCTCCTCCTCCTCCTCCTCCTCCTCCTCCTCCTCTCCTCCTCCCCTCCTCCTCCTCCTCTCCTCCCCCTCCTCTCCTCCTCCTCCTCCTCCTCCTCCTCCTCCTCCTCCTCTCCCTCCCCTCCTCCCCTCCTCTCCTCCTCCTCCTCCTCTCCTCCTCTCCTCCTCCTCCTCTCCTCCTCCTGTTCCCCCTCCTCCTCCTCCTCCTCCTCCTCCTCCTCCTCCTCCTGTTCCCCCTCCCCCGCGCGCCCGCCCCTGCCCCCCCCGCGGACTCCGCGCGCGGCCGCGCGGGCGAGGGCCTCCTCCATCTTGTCGACGACCATGGCGCCCTCCCCCGCGCGTCCGCCTGGATCCGGGCGGCGGACGGGGAGGAGGAGGAGGAGGAGAAGGAGGAGGAGGAGGAGGAGGAGGAGGAGGAGGAGGAGGAGGGGGGAGGAGGAGGAGGAGGAGGAGGAGGAGGAGGAGGAGGGGAGGGGGGAGGAGGGGGAGGAGGAGGAGGGGGGGAGGAGGAGGAGGAGGAGAGGAGGAGAGGGAGGAGGAGGAGGAGGAGGAGGAGGAGGAGGAGGAAGAAGAGGAGCAGGAGGAGCAGGAGGGGGAGGAGAAGGAGGAGGAGAGCGGAAGAGGAGGAGGAGGACCAGTGTAAACCCAAGAGTCATCAACGATGCTAGAGTAAACCCTCGCTCCAAGCTCCCGCTCCATAGGTTTCCATTGATGGAACTGCCTGGTTGGAAGACACCCGTTTGAAGACCCTGAAGCATGCCAAAACATTGTTCTCGGGATTCCAACACCACGGATCAGCCTGACTGCTGCGTCTTGACGACCCTGAATTGCGCCGCAACGCCATTCTTAGGTAACTGTTGCACTCGCATAATCCTGAATCCTTCCAACACACAATTTCTGGTACGTTGGTGGTGGGAATCAGTGAACTTCTTATACAACCTTTTTAAACGAATGTGCACGGCGCTAAGGCGAGAACTGCATTTTGAAACGATCCGCCCTCAATCCGTGAAGCTCTTGCAACTTTTATGAAGAATGTGCGCCAAGGAACCGCCTTCAATCCGTGAATCTCTTGTAAGTGTTCGAAAAAAGCGAGTGTGCGCCGCGCTGAAGCGAGAACCACATTTTGAAAAGGAACCGCCCTCAATCCGTGAATCTCTTGCAAACTTGTACCAAGGAACGTGCGCGGCGCTTCGGCGAGAACCACATTTTGAAAATAAGCCGCTCTCAATCCGTGGAGCTCTTGCAAATATTCGAATACGCGAATGTGCGCGGCGCTCAGGCGGGAGCCACATTTTGAAAACGACCCACCCTCAATCCGTGAAACACTTGCAACTTGTCAAACGCATGTGCGCCGCGCTCAGGCGAGAACCACATTTTGACAACGACGCCCTCAATCCGTGAAGTTCTTGCACATGCTCAAAAAGCATGCGCGCCGCGCTAGGGAACGAGCCACATCTTGAAATTGACCAGCCCTCAATCCGTGAAGTTCTTGCAAATTGTTAAGCTTCAGAACTATACATGATAAGGACACCTCAGGCGAACCGCCCGGACCGCCCTAAAAAAACTTGCCTCGGGGTGCAACAGGGAGAAATTATAACGGAGGAGGAGGAGGAGGACAGGAGAAGGAGGAGGAGCAGGAGGAGGAGGAGGAGGAGCAGAAAGAGAAAGAGGAGGAGGAGGACAGATGCTCATAATGATGATGAAGACGATTATAGCTATGATG